TGTATTTTTTGTCTTTTCTAACATATTTTTAGAAACTATCGGTATATTAAATTGCACTGTTTTCAACAATGTGAGATTTCTATTCAGTCCTAACCCATCCACAAGAAAGCATTTTACTCTTTGTTAATTTCAAGATCAAAAACTTTTCTTTTGCTCTTTGTATCCTATAAAATATTCACAGAACAAAAGGGCAACTTGAACAGTGTCTTTACTACATATGAATATTGTTAAGAAAACTATTAATGGTGTTGCTTTTCTGTGAAGCACCAAAAGTAAATAAAATTTATTGTAGAATATTTGGGAAGTACTTCTAAGAATAAAGGAGAAAATGAAATTGTTCCGTGTACTGTTCATATAGAAATAACCACTGTAAACATTTTATTATACACTCTTATTTGTCCCCCCCTTTTTTTAAATTAATATTTCTTGTTCCTGTAATTTGTAATGAAGTATTAAATCAACAGAAAATTTAGCTTCAAATCTAAGGAAAAATATGAAGCTTTAATATGTTTAGTGGAAAAGTAAATCAAACTTTGGAGGTACAACATGACTTTAGAGGATAGAAGCACCATTCCCAAATTCTACTTTTTAAGAAACTATCCAAAGTGATAGGCATAAAGTACAAAAAACAATAAGTTTTAGATCCTGCCTTTTTTTCCTAATAGAAACTTTAAGTCAAAAAAGGAGGATGGGTAGTTGACAAAATGAAGGTGGGAAACTTCAAACCATCAACTGGAATAAAGTATAATGCTGTAAATGTGGCTGGAGAAGCCCTGTCAGATGCTTTTGGTTTGCACCCTGATGAAGATTTTGACAGCACAGTGCTCTGAAATGATCTTGATGTGCTGCCATTTCATTCTTGGCTGAATGTAGCCAATTTAAACTGCTAGAATTTCTTGACATTCATATGCTGGCATATCTGAGTCAGCATCTTGTTGCTGCAGCAGCTTAATTAAATTTGCCAGTTTGTGCCACAAGGACAGACATGTTCTCATATTCAGAGAGACAGCTGTGAAGCAGTATTGTTAAGAGTTGCGGACACAATACTGTTAGGTTTGAATAGCTCTCAAGACATTTTTTAGTGAGAAATCAATTTGCTGTAATGAATTTCTCCCAAGATCAGCAGTTAATATTCATTTTGTTAACTTGAAATATGCTTATTTTTATGCAGTTACTGGAGAAAGTTTAGTAGCCAAATATGTCTTTCACCTGCTTTATTTTCAGAACTAACCTAAAGCATCCTTATTTTAATTTTCAAGACTTGTTTCCTAATCGGTAAACACAGGCAGGAAGTGGAAAGAGTCCTGTGGAGTTGTGAGAACTGCTGTGATGGGACATGAAGCAGGTGTATGAATTGTTGAATGGAAAAGTAATTTGCTCTGTAAACGTCCACTCAAATCATGATTAAAATTAAAAAAACACACCAAGATTTCTTTCCCATTCACTAACCAGCTCTCTTGATTAATTTTTCAGCCCTAGGTTAGCAGAATATAAGAGTATCTTGGTATATGTGGCTTTATTTTGGTAGCTTAAATCCTTTTTTTAAAAATGTTCTTTTCATCTTTTGGAACTTTTGCAGTCTTAGTCTAGTATTGTAAATTTCATTTAAAACAAATTGTAGTTTTGATGGAGCTTAACGTACCCTTTGCCCAGAAACAACTCTAGTTTGATAAGTCTCAACCTTATTAGCCCCAAAATCCCAGTGTACTTTTTATATTAAATATTTATAAGAAATAAACCACATCTTTTTTTAGCTTAAAATGAAATTACTAGATTAAAAATTACTGCATATATAATTTAAAGAATAATGTTTTAAATATAAAAAATGAAAATAATTTATATTAGCATAATATGTATTTTAGGATAAATGCATAGAATCTACTACACTAGAAGACATGATGAAATTATATGCACAAGTTAAAATGAATAACACTGAATTTAAGAGAAGTAGGAAGAGAAGCCAAACCATAAAATGATGTTAAGTGCTGTCAAGTTGGTTCCAACTCAACAACCCTGTGTAGGGTTTCCAAGGTGACTGGTGAGTTTGAACCGCCAACCTTGTAGTTCAAACCTACCGTGCAGTCCATATTTCATTAACCTACAGTGCCACACCAGGGCTTCAAACCATAAAATAATTATAAGGAAAATAGGAATAAAATAATTTGGTTATGATAAGTAATAAAAGACAAGAATTATTTGTGTTTGGTAAGAGAAAGACTAAAGTGACCTTTGAAAGTTATATAGTCCTTAATACTTGATTGTATGGAACACCACAGCTACCCATATTACACAACTTTGCTTGCCAAAAGTGAAGAGGATTTGAAGCACTTATTGATGAATATCAAAGACTAGATTTCACTATGAATTGCACTTCAACATAAACTAAACGTCCTCACAACTGGACCAGTAAGTAACATCATGATAAACAGAAAACGTTGACATTGTCGAAGTTTTCATTTTATTTGAATTCATATTCATCACCCATGGAAGCAGCAGTTAAGAAATCAAATGATATATTGCACTGGGCTAATCTGCTGCCAAAGACCCCTTTTAAAATCTTTAAAAGGAAAGAAATGCCACTTTGCTGACTAGGGTGCATCTGACCCAAGCTATATTTTCAGTCACCTCATATACATAAGAAAACTGAGCAGTGAAAAAGGAAGACCTAAAAAGCATTGCTTTTCAACTGCCAGGAAATCAAATCTGTCTTGAAAGAAGTAAAAAGCTCCTTAGAATGGAGGATGGGTGAGACTCCCTCTCACATGCTTTGGACAGGACATGTTATCAAAAGGGACCAATCCCCAGAGAAGGACATCATGCTTAGTAAAGTAGAGGGTCAGCAGAAGAAAAAGGAAGACCTTCAGTGAGGTGAAATGACACTGACTGCTATACCTAGGGAGTTGCTGTGAGTTGGAATTGACTCAATGGCAACAAACAACACTAAAAATGATGTTACCCCATCTAGTATACTTCATCTCGAAATGCTTTTAGTTCTTTCCCGAGCCCCCTTTATTGTTATCCCAATCCAGATAACAGTCACATGTGATTTTTGTTAAATGTCATCCGAGTCGGTTCTGACTCATAGCGACCCTGGATAGGGTTTCCAAGGAGTAGCTGGTGGTTTAAACTGTTAACCTTGTGGCTCACAGTCCAGTACTGATCCTACAGCGCCACACCAGGAGTCTTATGTTGTTGTTGTGAAGTGCCATTGAGTCAGTTCCGACCCATAGCAAACCTGTATAGGGTTTCCAACAAGCAGCTGGTGAGCTTGAACTGCCAACCTTGCAGTTCAAATGGCTTTGCAGTCTGGCACATTAATCCATAGCACCACACCAGGACTCCAGGAATCCTATATAGCCTTCTAAAATACCTATCTGGAATAAATGCTAAGAATGTTAAGGATCATTGTGTGGCTGTTTCAACCTCTTCATCTCTGATCATGATGTCTTTAGGGTTCTTCACGGACATGGATTCATTATGTTCAGTTTGGAGAATTGAGATCTCCGGTGTCACACTGTATTAATGTACATATTTACTTTTCTTCCCCCCACCCCATTCATTTGCCTGATCTGCTTAATTCTAAGATCCTGGAGAGCAGGGATTGAATCTTGCTCAGTATCAGTCATAGCTCCAGGATGTAGCATAAAACTGGCACATGGCATTCACTAAGTAAATTTTCATGAATAGAGAAATGAAGGTTAATCAACAGATGATAATCTCATTACCTTCCCTTCCTCTGTAGATTATTGTCTTTAAATGCAGCCAGCTCATTGGAACCATTACTGTGCTGCCAATTAGAATTGTGGAGTTTGAGTGCTAGCTGAGGACATTTTGCTTTCGTAAGGACTGTTCAATTCTATTAAAAATGAATATTCTATCAATTGAATACTAAGAATAGAGCTAGATTATGAACAGCATAAGAAACTTTCTATGCAGGTACCTTAATTGGATGGTAAGGCAAATTTTTTAAACTGAGAATAACCAGTTGTTGGCAAGCCAAGTCCTATTCATGATGACCTTGAGTGTCAAAGTAGAAGTGTACTCCTTAAGGTCAGAGACTGATTTTTTCCAGTAGATAAACAGGCCTTTCTTCTAGGCTTTCTTCCTAAGGGCCGTGGGTCCATTAACTTTTTAGACTGAGCAGGGATTCAAAATTAAAAAATAGCATTTCATAAACAAATACAGATTCTCTTGGTGTATTTCATTATAGATGTATGCCAAAATTTCTCTTTGCAGTCATAAAAAACAAAGTTGTTACATGGCTTTCTGTGGGTTAATGCACTGGACTTCAAAGTCAGTTTGAACCTCAAGGTTTAAGCTCACCAGTTGCTCCTCAGAAACCCTATACAGGGTTGCTATGGGTCAGAACCGACTCTGCACTTAACAATAACAACATGACTCAAAAGTGGTAGAGTGGTGTATGACTTCTAGAACCTCTACTGTGTCCATAAAATCTCGTGCACAGTGTTGGAATTTCATTTTTCAAATCTTGAGAAAATTAGAAAAATGTAGAATTCAGAAAATTTGTTAACCAGTTTTTAACCTCACTATATCTTACTCAGTGACTTTTGTTTGTTAACTGATAATATCTTACTAGAGAATTTGGCATCAGAAAAAAAAATTTCATTATAGTAAAATATAAACATGAAATAGCCTGCATGTTAATTATTGATAGTAATTTAGCTCTTTTCAATAAAGAGAAAAAGTTGGGCAGTTGAATACCTAGTATATTTGTGCTTATTCTCCATCAATAATTAAAGGTAAGTTTGCAATGTGATCCTATCTTGCAAAATACATAATCTACACTAAGTGTCTGAACATCAAAATGCAGGTGGCAGAGTTAGATAATAATCTAGAATTTGCTGTGTTAATCGCACTGTATTCTCCTGGGTGATTGAGAATCATGAAGTTCTATGACAGTAATCTTCATGTAAACACATATTTGTAAATTTTTTTATTGTGGTTTTTTTTGTTTGTTTGTTTGTTTGTTTGTTTTCCAGACGTATAGGAGAAAATTTGAATGCCTCAGCAAGTTCTGTAGAAAATGAGCCGGCAGTCAGTTCAGCAGTTCAAGCAAAGGAAAAAGTTAAAACCACAGTTGGAATGGTACTTCTTCCAAAACCAAGAGTTCCTTATCCTCGTTTCTCTCGTTTCTCACAGAGAGAGCAGAGGAATTACGTGGATTTGTTGGTTAAATATGCAAAAATTCCTGCAAATTTCAGAGACGTTGGAATAAATAAAAATGACTACTTGGAATACTTGGTATGTATTTTAGTTTTCATCTTCAGTAAAAGTATTAAAATTTAGGAAGTACTTGTAAATTATCATCTGTATTTCTAGGTATAGTAATGTTAACAAATACCTCTTTTTCAACAACATATATGGTGATTGTACATGTGGACCTCACTAGATGGAATGCACAGGAATCAAATTGACTACATCTTTAGGAAGAGAACCTAGAGAAGCTCAATCATATCAGTCAGAACAAGGCCAGAGGCCGACTATGAAACAGACTATCAGTTGCTCATATGCATGTTCAGACTGAAGCAGAAGAAAATTAAAACAAGTCCACAAGAGCCAAAATATGACCTTGAATATATCCCATCTGAATTTAGAGACCATCTCAAGAATAAATTTGATGCATTAGACAGTAAAGACTGAACACCAGAAGAGTTGTGGGATGACATCAAAAACATCATACGTGAATAAAACAAAAGGTCATTAAAAAGAAAGAAAAGGCCAAAATGAATGTCAGAAGAGACTCTGAAACTTCTTGAGTGTAGAAAAGCTAAAACCATATAAAAAGGAAATGTACGAAGACCTAGAGTCTGAAAACGAAAAGGAAAGAACACATTCAATATTTCTCAAGCTGAAAGAACTGAAGAAAAAAACTCAAGCAGTGGCTTGCAATATTGAAGGATTCTATGGACAAAATATTGAATGATGCAGGAAGCATCAAAAGAAGATTCAATAAATACACAGAGTCATTGTACTAAAAAGTATTGGTCGATGCTCAGCCATTTCCAGAGGTAGTATATGATCAAGAACTGATGGTACTGAATGAAGGAAGACGCCCAAACTGCTCAAAATGCATTGCCAAGAAACAAGGCTCCAGGATTTGATAGAATACAAATTGAAATGTTTCAGCAAACTTATACAGCACTGGAGGCACTCATCTATGCCAAGAAATTTGGATTATGAAGCTATACACTGACAGGGTGTTGTCAGAAACTCAAGCTAGATTCAGAAGCAGTCGTGGAATTAGGGATATCATTTCTGATATCAAATGGATCTTGCAAAAAGCAGAGAATACCAGAAAGATGTTTACTTGTGCTTTATTGACTGTGCAAAGGCATTCAACTGTGTGGATATTCCAGAACACTTGTGCTCATAAGGAACCTGTACCTAGACCAAGAAGCACTTGTTCAAACAACATGGTGATACTGAATGGTTTAAAACTGAAAAAATGTGTAGCCGTATCCATACTTAGTCAGTCTGTATATTGAGCAAATCTGAGAAGCTGGATTATGTGAAGATGCACATGGTATCAGGATTAGAGAAAGACTCATTAAGAACCTGAGATACACGGATGGCACTGGCACAACCTTGCTTGCTGAAATGAAGAGGACTTGAAGTAGTTTCTGATGAAGATCAAAGACTACAGCCTTTAGTATGGATTGCATGTCAATGTAAAGGAAACAGAACTCTTCACAATTGGACCAATTAATTCTGTGATAAACAGAGAAAAGATTGAAGTTGTCAAAGACTTCATTGTGCTTGGAGGCAGCAGTCAAGAAAGCAAACACTGTGTTGCACTAGGCAAGCCTGCTGCAAAAAAAACCTCTTTAAAGTGCAAAGATGTCAGTTATTGAACTTAGGTATGCCTGACCCAAGCCATGGTATTTTCAATAGCCTTTTATGCATGTGAAAGGTGGACAGTGAGTAAGGAAAGCTGTAGAAGAATTGCATTTGAATTATGGTTTTGGAGAATATTAGAAGAGCATGGATTGCCAGAAGAACAAACAAATCTGTGTTGGAAAAAGTACAGCCGGAATGCTCCTTAGAAGTGAGGATGCTGAGACTTTGTCTCTTGTTTTTTGGACATGTCAAGAGGAATGAGTCTCTGGAGACTCATCATGCTTAGTAAAGTGAAGGGTCATAAAAAGAAAGAAGACCTTTAACAAAATGAATTCACACAGTGGCAGCAATAATGGACTCAAACAGCGGTTGTGAGGATGGTACAGGTCTGGGCATTGTTTTCATTCTGCTTTTAATAGAGTCACTCTGAGTCAGAACCAACTCCATGGCACTTCACAACAATGTATTAACCAAAATAGAAATTTGAAGGAGGTGCTGGGGATTTTTTTGACAGACCATGGTGCTTTAATTCTTTTGTTGATTCATTTTGCATACTTTGGAATATATCTTGCTCCAGCTCATTGCTTAAGTAGTAGCGTAATTTATTGAACCACTTCTTTGTTATTGAACATTTTAAACCATTCCAATGTCTAAGTTATATAAATGATGCTCTGCTGGACATCTGTGCAGCAAAATCTTTGTTAGTGTCTATGAACGTTTCTGTAAGAGAAATTCTTAAAAATTCTTGCCAAATCAAAAGCTATGCATGTTTTTAACACGCATGTTTTGATCTGCATTTAACACAATGGTAAATTGTTCTGTAAAAACCCATACCATTTTGTACCACTATTGTATGAAAGTTTGTTTTTGTTTTTGTTTTTTTTTTTTAAGGTTTATTAAAACTGGACCTTACCTTTATGGCTTCTGATATTAACTCTGTTGAATATTTTTGAAAAATATTGCTCTTGTTTTTTGCAGTAATTTAATTTGTACTGGTTACTAATAAAAATGAAGATTTTTTTGTAAAGCTTTTTAGTTTATTTTATAAACAAAACCACTGCCTTAGAGTCACGTCAGTTCAGACTCATCACAACCCCTTAGGACAGAATAAAACTTCCCTCTAGGGATGACATCAAGAACATCATACATGAAGAGAGCAAAAAGTCATTAAGAAGACAAGAAAGAAGGAAAAGGTCAAAATGGATGTCAGAGGAGACTCTGA